CCTACAGGAAGCGGGGCGAGGACACGACCGCTTAGGTTTCCGCAGCGTCGACGCTTTTTGAATTAACCGCCTGGACATTAGAATACGAAATTGATATATTATGACCGTGGACTCGTGGTCCATCCCTCCGTTCTCCTCCTTCTTCAACCCTACGCTGAAAGGCCGCGAAAACCGCGGGGGTTAGAGGCCCGGGCGCCGTGAAAGAAGACGGTGGTCGGATGGTCCACGGTTACACACACTCTTTAGGCATGACTGGCCGTCGTTCGCATCTTTCATCGCATTATCTTCCCTCGTAAAACACGCCTTTATAGGTTCCCGAAACTCTCCCCCCTAGCACGACGGACAAGCTAGGTCTTGGTCCAGAGGTGTGTGTCGCGTGTTGGCCGTGTCGTTCCTTCCTCCAGGAGGGATGTTTTTTTTCTTCAAGATAGGGAAGTGTGGAAGTATGGATATTAGTTTTTGATGGGCGTATTTGCTAAGGAACCCCTTGGTTTACAGCTTTCAAAAGTATCGTGATTCGGTACGGAGAAGAATGAGGTCTTCGGGAACTTCGAACCAAAATGATCGTCTAGTCTAGGAAACATAAGGAGCTTCAGAGAAATATCTATTTGTTTCGATTTTTAAATAATTTTGGTATGAAATAATTTTCGTTTCATCACTTTCCTTGAATTCTTCGATAACCTTGATTCTCAGCAATCTCATGTTATCCACCTAAACGCATCCACCACCCCCTGATTATCAATCGTCGTTCGAGAAAACTCGATGAGTAATCTGCAGTAAAATTCACCGTAGGACTCGAGTGACATAAACTGCGTGGCGGATGACCGGTTTATAGTCTCGTAATTTCCATCGTAACCACATACAGGGAACCGTTGCCGCCGCGTTGTCTCTCCGGGTTGGCCACGATCTCCTGGCCAACAGACAGAGAAAGAGTAGCCGTCCGGCCAAAGGAGTAGGGGACGGGGTTGGTCCCGTCGGTTTGGGAGAAAAGGACGAAAAGAGAGTCTTTCGAGTGGCGCGAACTATTAAAAAGCCTGCGTCCGCTCAAATTCTCGCCAGTAGTAAATTACCCGAAAAAAGAAATAACCGTTGGATTCGACCGTCCTCCGGCCGTCGTCACCCGCTCTCGGTTTTCATCCCCCTCTCCCTTCAAACCAGCTTCCTTCTCTACCCCTCGGTGGAGTTCCAACCACCCCTCTATGGCCCAAGTGTCCCCGCTCGAGAAATCGTCGGTCTCTCTTTTCCAGGATGAAAAAAAAGAACCCTCTCCACGAGAGGAACGGCGGTGGTCTCAGATAAAAAATTAGCCGGAGTTGCAAACGTTTCCACCTTAAATCATATATTTATCGCGACATTAATTCAACCCTTTTAGGTACCCTTTTTTCCCCGGGGCCGGGCACTCCGCACGGAGACCGAAACGCCTCTGCTACGGCCGCACTCCCCACCCACCACCATCCGTCCGGCTCTCTTTTTCTAGATTCTCTGTCGCACCCCTCTTTTCCATCCCCTTCCTTGGTCCGTGTCCGGGACGGCTTCTGCGACGACAACTGGAGAGCCATACCGTCCCGTACGTCCTGCCGCTAATTTCTCAGATTCGAGTATTTTTATGTACCGTCGCGCGAACCTGATGGGGGTAAATCCTCTCGTTTATTATTTAGAAGGGGAGCGCGTACACGGGACCACCGTGTGCGTAAGGGACCGACCAGAGACTCGCACACAGATCCGAGGACAAGCGTTTACCCGGAGGTCCTTCTCGCCTTTTTGATGGGGATATACGGTCTCGTTATCTCTTCTTACTTCGACTCCCGGCGATTATTCTTCTTTACGGTCGGTTTACTCGATCGTACCGTCCACACGCACAACCCATAGTAGACTTGTATGTACGTGAATCATGCACACGTTCGCTACAGATCATTTTTTATCCACCTCGACTTTAGCATAGCTTTGTTTCTCTAATTTTAATTTCCACCCCGTTCTCGCGGTGGCTGGATCACCCTGTGTCCTCTTAACCGATCAAAGGACCGACCTGTCTCGTCCTTTGAGTGTGCATTAGACGGTGACCTTTTTCGTTGTAAAAAGTATGAGGGACAGAGCGTAGAGTGTCTTCTCGAGTTAATTTTCTTCTTGCCGTCTACGCTTATGCACAGTGACGTAACCCCCAAATACCATCGAGTTTACGGGAGAACGGCGTTACTCACAATGAAATGGGGAAACGAGACGCGCACACGTACCCCAGAGCCCCAGACCGACGGTTGTTTACTTAATAAATACATATTTAGTGTACGTCACATACATACAGGCATGGCTGGCCGGCTGCGCCTATTTTTGCCCCCAGTTTTGTTGTCATAGGACCGGCGATGGGAGGTGATGGGGATCAAGGGGGAGGGCACCCTTCGTCAAAGCGGTATGGGTTACGGGGATACACCTAGCCCTGCCGACAATGGGAACGGTTAAATCCCGAGGATTTGCTTCGAATAGTTTTGATACGACTAGTATCGTAAGCCTAATAAAGTCGCTCATGGAATTTCCCTTTATCCCCCTTTTGTCCCAGCCACCAGAGTATCGATGAAGAAAGGGGTGGTTGCGCGAGTTTAAAAATCTTTTTATTGTTTCGTTAGTTTCCCTCTCTTTTTATGTACGTAGGTACGTACGTAGATCAATGTGTTTTTTTGAAGCATCAGCGATGAATTTCGAGAGAGTGTTTTCTGTACGGTACAATTGCCGACTGCCTGGGACACGGAGTGAAAGGAATTATTTAAGGACACGCCGGCTTCGACGAATATTTCGTCCCCCATTTCCGGTTCGCCTATACAAACTTGAGCCGGTGGTTCAGGTTGCGTCAGACAACACGTGTACACACGTATTTACGGAGCCGAAGAGTGTGCGGGTACCTCCTCATATTCCGAGTGTATATGCCTAGTAAACTAAAGAAACTGAATATACATAATTTATTGACAGAGAATAATCTCGATTACAATTCTCCGTACTGAAATTGTAATTAGAATCCTTGATGTGTTCGACAAACAGTGGACTTTTCTAAATATTCATTGAGCTCGTCGATCCAAACAACCAATTGTTGTAAACTCTTTTTTTACAGCCCAATACAAATAATCTATTTACAATCATCAGACGATCCCAAACTCCATTCAAACACCTGCTACAATATTTCCAAACGGTTTCCAGTACCGAGAGCTTCAGTCCTCCTTTCTAAACACGCTCGCATATGTACGTACTCTCGAAGCTTCTCCAACCACATCCCCCACCCTAGAAAGGCCCAGCTCCTCCCCCCTCTCTCGCTCGTTTGCCCGGAAATCGTAAAAGAGGGTCCCCGTCGTCTAGTCGGCCCAGAGAGCGGTCGTATTCACGCGCGCGCGTCAGAGAGGCCGCAATCGCGCGCGCAGCCGCTTTGCCAAACAACCGTGCGACGAAGACGTGTATAATGTTCGAAGCGGTGACGAGCATATGGAAAGACAGGAGTGAAGGCAGGAGAAAGACAGCCGTATCGTTTCGAGCCAGTCGGCCACGGGTACAACGTGCCTCGTACATATGATGTACACTGGTTTGCCTGGCCGCACGGTGGGGTCATGGACGGAGAGGGGTGACGGAAGGGTGGGTGTTACGGTGGAGTGCAAAGGGGGAAAAAGTCTTCAGACACGAGGCTCGGGGCGGGCGGGACGTGATAAGTGGGGAAGGAGGGAGAGATGCCGACAGAGAGAAGGTAGGGCATACACAGAAGAGAGCATAGAGAAGACGTGTAGCCTGTACGACAGTCGGGGCAGGAGGGGAGTGACGAGGGAGGGTGGAGGGGGACGGCTGAAAGCAGGCCTGTTGGTTGGTTTCAACTATATTTGTTTATATTTACACAATAAGCAACAGCCTCGCCGGTTGGGCTGCTTGGTATGCCTGTGCCGCTTTTAGTGTTTAGTCCTCGCTACTCGGTCGCCGCGCGTGAACGTTGCTTTTCGTCTTCTTTAGCAGCCGTCAACCGTTCCCTGTCCCAGCCATAGGGCCACGTTCGAGCCCGAGGGCTCCTCACGGGTCCACGTGTGCCGTGACTGTTTCGAACTTTGTGTGTTTCTCCGACCTACGCGACTTCAATCGTTATTTCTTGATTTTGGATTTGAACGTGACTCTCATCTGAAGAAGGTATAATCTTTTGTGCGATTCCGTTTGATACACCGTGGAAAAAGAAGCTTCCGGTACGATGGTGCTTCTCGCGATTTAGGAAAGGAACGTCGCCGCGAGTGGTGTGATCTCACCGTGTGTACTCGTGGGATCCGTTCTTGTTTACTTGACGACTAGTTTTTTTTTTCCTTTCTGTCGCCGCGAAAAGTGTCTGTGCGTGTGTGAAACTGTTTGACCCGAGCGTAAAGACGCTTCTGTGTACCGTGTGTGCGCGCTTGTGGTTTTCTACGTTCGCTGGAGTTTTACTGGTGACTGTCTGTTTGGTGTGATATACCGAAGGCGAGGATTTTTCATACAGTAAGCATCATCCACGAGTACATTCGCTGATAGAAGTGACTGTGTGTGTGTGTATGTGTGTGTGTTTGAGTACGTGCAGCCGCGTTTGCACAATTGTTTTCCGGGAAGGGAAATATATTATTAGAGACGTGTTCGGTGGCGAAACATTGTTACATTCGTCTAATAGTGCATGGAATCACACGCTCGTTATACAGAGACGTGATCTAAAATTGTTCCTCTCCGTTTCGATGGTGTACGATATCGGATAACAAAAGCAGACTTCCGAGACCTTCGGTGTGGCCACGCCATTTCTTTCTCCGCGGTGCATACACAGAGTATATACCATATACCGTAAACTTTCGTGCCTTCTACTCAAAAACAAAAAAGTATACTCAACATCGACCTACAGAAAATTTTTCGATCGAGATCGTAATTCATGCGGCCCGAGAACACGCATACGACCGCGAAATCCACGGTTTGAAGTTCACTGCACCGGGGGAGGCGTTCCGATTGACGTAACACGATGATCGTGATTTCAGGACGATGGCATAATGGATCATGACACAGACGGAGACGGCGCGATCAACTTGTCAACGTCCCAGCGTCCCTCCGCCGCCACCACCCCTAATGGTGACACCCCCACGTACGGACAGGATCCGCAAGACAACGACCAGGTAAGAAATTAATCAACCGAGTATTATACGATAAGATAACCGTTGCTTCGTTTATGTCATCGGGGCCTTACCATAATTACGACATTCTTTTTTTAGAATGCATCCGTTTCTTTATCCGAGACGGGCTTCATTGTCTGGATTATCGAATGATTTTTCAGTATTACGCGGAGAAACTCGTAATCGGAAACGTGTTTTGAAATCTTGCACTGCAAGATACGCCATTCTTTCTCTCTTTAAGAATGCATCGATTTCTTTATCAAAGATGGGCTTTTCATTGTCCAGATTATTGAACAATTTTTCATTATTGCGTGGAGAAGAAAAATACTCAAAGTCTTGCCCTACTAATAGAATAGTTGTATTAATTTAACGTTACGATATTTGCGTTACAATCAATGACGACTCAAATGGAAGTCGAATAACCGTCATAATTCAACTTTCAAGTATCGCCCCTAATTAATTATTCCAATAAAATAACGCCCATCTCTGATCTATATCTCGAATGTTTCATCAATCGGCAAAAGTTGATATTATTAAGATTATTTATAACTGAAAATATGCGTGCACAAATAGCACTAATTTTAGCAGGGTGGCATCTGTTCGTGCTCGATAGGCCCAGCAGTGCTCGTTGAAACGAGTCAGGGGGTTCATTGATTCCCGAGAATAGAGGTGTATCTTCGGGCGATAAGGTGAAGCTTGGATACGATCTAGCCTGGTGGTGGTCGTAGTTGAAAATCGAAAACGAAATCGAGGGGGATAGTCCGCACGTATATACGCGATACAACTCGTGGAAAACGAGGTAAACCGATAGCAATCCTCGGGTGTGTTGAGGGGTCGCGAACCTTAAACCGGGAGTTTCTACCCCGCGGTAAGCCGTCTCCGAAAGCGCGATACTTCCGAGGCGTTTGACACCCAGCCACCATAAAATCGAGAGAGCTCCCCTCCCCCCTCCGACGCCTGATTTCAAATTCAATTCAAAATCCCGCGTTCGCGGCTGAACGCAATATACCACTCCCGGGGTAGCGGCCGAGCGCCGCCGAGGGAAACAAATGTTTTATGGCCCTTAAAGCGGCCTTTTCGACGGTTTTCTTTCGGAAAGGGGGAACTACGGGTCGTGCCGCTGGCGCAGGTATAGAAGCTACCTCCATATATGCGTGACACGCGCGGTCGGAACCCCCGAAAACTGTTGTGCCCTCGACAACGGACACCGTGCACGCAGTTGCTACAAAACATGTCCTAAAATGCGTCGATTGTTTCTGGAAACATTTGAAGCAGAGCCAACTATCTCTGTTCGTTAAATTCTTATCGAGGCTGAAGAGTATTTAACGAAACTTCGAAATTATTTTTCCTTAGTGTTCGAATCATCGTAAAATATTGGTAAAAAAATATTTTTCTTAGATATTTTTTTATATTTGTTTGACGCATGAATTTGTTACAGTAATGTAGTAGAAAAATGTTTCCCTTTGTATTGTGTCCCTACCTCGATTCTTATAAATACGAAAGTCACCTATTCCTTAATCAGTTCTTGTGCGTCCCTTGAAGTTCTACAATGAAGAGAATGTTCTTGGTGTTTTGCTAACCGTATCTCGATTTACCTTGAAACTATAATTGATATATGTCAATCCCGTATTTCGCTGCAAATGAAATTTCTTTCCACGTTTTCCATTTTTCCCCCAACCGTGAAATCACCGTCCCGAGGTATCGTGCATTTCGACGAGGAGAACGTGTTTGCTTAATTTCGTTACCCTCCCCCCCCGGTTCGCGTGGAGATTCCTCGATAATTCAGCGTCCATTCGATAAGCGTCCAGGCGGCCGTTGGAATAAATTATTTTAATAATCGGCCAACGGCGCGAAAGCATTAGGTCGCCAAGGGGGTATTTTTATTCGTGGTGGTAGTTACCTGTGTGCGTGTGCAGATAGTAACGGTGAATATCAAGTTCACGTGACGCACCAGGTAAATACGTGTGTACCAACACCATGGCCGGGCCCGTGAATTACACGCGCGACACGTACATCTGCTCGCCTGTTGGTTACGTGTAAACAGAGATTCGCTTATCGCCAGGCTGACACGTATACATAAGTGTACGGAGAGAGATATTTTCGGGATTATTTTAACGACACACTGGTCTAGTTTCGCCGGCGTCTCTTTTTTTTTTCTCTCTTTGTTTAAGCCGTCCGCCCGGTTGAAACGAACGCGAGACAACCTGGTAAATTTAACCGTTTCCCGTTTTACACGTGACACGGTGATCGACGCGGACGGATAGTTGGGTAATTGGTCGCTTGTTAAATTCCCTTTTTAAACGTATTTATTATATATATATTGATATTCTTTTAAATTAATTCAGTAACAAAATAAGTGCGGACATATAATGGGGGACAAGAATATTTGTACATGTCATATAATCGCACGTAGTGTAACTAACTTTCGTATATTTTATATTTCTAACTTCTATGCATACTTGTAATACATAGACGAGCATATCCACGGAAACGTACATTGATAATATAGAAGGTATAATTCTTTTCATGTAATACTTTTGTCCCTCATTGGAGGTATAAAGGGCTTAATAAATAGAGAAACGAAAGATTGTTCAAAGATTAGAAGGTATATTTGTATGATTTTGATAGCATCGTGTTCACTAACATTCACTTCGATATCAAAGTAGACAGTTTGAACGTTAATTGTACAAGCATCGTGGCCCTCCACAGGCGTGAGATTCGAGAGGGTTTCAAGATCGAGTTTTAAGAAACTATCAAGTTCTGCTGACCACTCGCCAGCTCGACCACGACTTCCTGTCCTCCTCCATTGTGTCAGTGAGGGGCTAGGCTCTTGTCGGACTCTGTAACTTCAGAGGAGTGCTGATGTTCGAACTTGGCTCCGTTAACACTTCCGATTGTTTTCATGTTCCAATTATTTGCAATTATCTTGAATGGAATTCCATTCTTCCTCGCAGTCCCATTCGAACGAACAATTCATCGAGGTTGTAAACTAACTAGATCTGTCAAACTTCGTGATATTTTATCATTTGCAAATTTCTCAGACCGACCGAAACACTTTCGAAAATTCGTTGATTGGAGGTTACAAGGCCGATTCCATTAGCTCCCGTTACCGCCATTGTGAAATTTATGGGGTTAGCACGAAGATTGACGTGGAACTTGGAGACAAGACTGGCCACACAAGTTCCAATTCCACGCATTCTGAATTCCCGGCTGTCACGGAAACCGACCGTCTAAGTTTCTGCGGTTTCGAGTCGATCGAAGTCCCGCGGCATTGGCTGACACTGTTTATAATTTAGGAGCTTCCTCGGAGTCTAGGGCTGCGAGGGTGAGTTCTCGGGTGACGTCAGTGGAGGCCCAAGACGCGGAGGAGAGACGGAAGGTTTCACTGGTGTTTAGCGAGCAGGGAATTCTCATAAACAGATCGATAGTCGTTTCGATGAAACTTTAATCCCGGTTGGTAGTAACCTAAGTGTTAACATTCTTAGATGGTAACTTCTAAACTTGGTTGTTATGTTCGACTGTCTATTCGCCTTGTGTCGAGTCATTTTATAAATTTTTACATTTATTCAAGAAAAGTGTCTGTATCGATAAAGATTTTAAACTTCTATCAGTCACTGTACACATCACGAGGAACGTTTTATACGATGTTTGTCTCTTCTATCGACTAATCCATTTATCATTCATTACTTTGACAATAATTCATGTTACAGAATACCTATAGAGGAACATATTTACCCAGCGATTCTTTCATTTGATCGTATTGTACAATATTCATGATTCGATATAAATGACTCCGAAATCTATTTTACCGGTGCCCAATTTGTGTCAGATTCTTTTGATTCCTCTTCAATTACGCTTAAATAGTTCACGATCGAATTCCCGGTCAACAGGTTAAAGGAATTCGGTCGCGTGAATAATCTCTCACCGTCGATTCTAGAAAATAAAATATTCGTAAATAATTGAACGATCAATTTGTCAGTCGACCAACGGAGCCGTGATTTTGGTCTGACCCGCGGAAAAATAAAATGGCCCGACCTGTATCCGTTTTGATATAACGGGGGCTAAACTCGGAAGGGCCGGTACGTCGAACGCGTTTTAATATTAGCCCGATAGTCGATACTTGAAATACGGCTTAACTCCTTGAATCCTTCGTAACGCGAGGAGAGAAAATAGAATTCCAAGCAGTCTTGTGTTGCGTTCAACCTTCGATTATACGATTGAAAAGAGTCCTGTGACGCGTTTCGTGTCCTGCATTAGCCTTTCCCACTACAAAAAGTTCCCCGAATCCATTAGGTCGTCTCCTGAAGAAATCGCGGTTGAAATTGATCTCTCAGAAGGATACACTGATAGCAGTAACCATAACATTCTACCTGGTAAATTAATAGAATATTTGGGTAGTTATGTACCCGGTTTAGCGATATTTTATTTGTCTAACATGTACGATATTGTAAATCTAATTAGTAGACTGCGGATTTCATACAATTATAGCCTATGAGGCTCCGCGAAATATAAGAAAATACAAAACTTTCGTCTGATGCAATGAGATTTCTGTTTTATTTTGAACTCAATAAGATATTCAAGTAAAGAAAGGAATAATTCCTAGATTTGCTCTGGTCTTTATAAATTACTTTAGAAAGTGTTATTTTACATAAAAATCTGCAGTCTACTAATTAGGAGTAGTGCAGCGAGCCCAATAATGATTGTACCTACAAGATTCGTAGAATTTGAAGAAAAGTCTATTTTTTACGATACATCTACGATTTTGTAAGATTCAGCCAATCAACCGGTTATCTGGAGGCCTGTGAACGAAAGTATTCGAGAGAGTATACTGTTTTACGAGCGGAGCCTCGAGAGATGGGTTAAGATCAAACCGTAATGAAAACCGTATTAAAACGTCGCTCTCGTTTCGCTGCTCTCGATCATCATGGAATTCGCAATCGCGACGAAACGCCTGACACTCCGGTATTCCCTGATTAAACAAACTTTCGCGTGCCGCGTCGGTG